TAAAGAAAACCAAAAGGCAGTGAGTGGTTTGTGGTTTGGTAGAAAAGCTTTCTTATCAACTCTTGTAATGTGTTTGCCATTTCGACTCTCAGAATACGCTCAGCAGTGAGAACATTAGGTGGTAAGAATTCTTATAAATTAAATTATACATACATACGCAGAATATGCACATACAGTCTAGTGTATGTACTATACATACGTATGTATTAGCTGCATTATTATATAGTACAATATGTATGCAAATTAGAAGCTTTTGAGAAATACAAATAAGCATCATAAAAATGGTGAGAACATGTGCTAGTATTTTCAAGCTGTGCCGTTATGTGGTTATACATATGTACTTTAGTACCCTATGGTGAAAATTTTAAACTTTTAAATTTTTAATTACAAACTTGAGGTTAAGCGATAAGGGAAGCCGCAAAACAAGCGGAACTTGAAACTGAAATCAGCTCCACGATTAAAAAAAATCGTTTTTATTTTTGTTGTATGTATGTAAATACCGAAACACATTGATACATTGTACACTTATGCCCAAAATATTAGTAACACAATATTTTGACCAGTTTTGACTATTGTTTTCGTTCCTTTTTTGTTTAAGGTTCATACATTTTTTATAAATGTATAGCTCGTTATATCGCTAGCTTAGAAAGAAAAGTTGCTAAGTCCCATTTTAAAAATTTTACAGGAGAGGAAAAAATCTTCCTATAGCCATTTTCTTTAACTATTTCGCAAGACTTTGAATCAAACATCTTGCGCGTTTAAAGCAAAGCAAAACTCCATAAGAATCAGAAGGATTCGATATTTATTAAAAGTTGTCGTATTATTTTGGCCTTATCGGATTTGTGGTGCTTCTTTTGGACTTAGCAAATTTTCCTTTTATTGCTTATGAAGAGGAAAAAATAAAACATGTACCTTTATAATTTTCGAAACGATGCGTATTCAACTTCTCTAGCCTCCTATATCAAAATATGAGTTTTCATAAAAAGTGGACTTAGCAACTTTTCACTCACATAACAAATACCATATAAATCTAAATTTCAAACCAAGGCGAATTTTTATAAGGTGGTGTTACTAGCTCAGCTGATTTTGTGTATGTGTTTCGCCGCACGGCGTCTGATATCAATTTGAAAAATTTTGGTTGAATTTCTACACACACTATTACAGATTTTGACAGTTTATGCCGCCAAAGCAAAAACAAAATACATGTAAATTTTTGTTTTTGTACTCCTGCTATCACCTTATATTAATTCGCCTTGTTTCAAACTGTGTACGAAAATTTTAAAAATTCAGGAAATCATCCAAATTTAAAACTTTTATAATCAAAAATTTTAGAATAAATTTTATAGTCCATTATATTTTAGTATAAAAGAGTGCAAGTTTGAAGCCGCAAAAAAATCGCGTTGATATTAGGCATTTTTTTTGCTGACTGTGTCATGTATGTATGTTCTTCCATACAAAGTATGTTCGAAACTTTTTTATATGGCGGAAAGTGAACAAGGTGTACACTTCAAAAAACTTGTAAAACCGACCAATAGCTGATACTCTGAATTCACAGTCTGGAATATTAATGTAAAATATTCCTGCTGGAGTTGTAAAACTATCGATAGTTGATATCACCATCGATAGTTTTGAAAAAACCATCGTCAGAGAATTTGAATGCCATCCGTGTGGGACTCAGTACGCATAGCTTACTTAAGGGTAGAAAGGGGTTGTTAGTACCACAAATGTGAATGTATGTATTTATATATTTATCAATGCAATGTAGCTACATATACAAATTCTCAAACCAACAGGTATGATGAGTAAGTAAAGCTTTTTTTGGCGCTCTTTATTAGCTTTAAGCTTCTGTTGCTACTGTTGACTTCTTGACGGTGTATTTGTTAATGCCGCTCTTAGTGTTGCCACACATCGGATTTCCTACTAAAACTGGTAGGTTTTTTTCCATTTGGTAGGTTGGTAGGCTAGATTGGATTTTGATACGTTCTGCGACACTAACAATTATTAGCGAAAAAATGGAAAATATGTATATTAAAACATATTCAGCAACCTTATTTACAGAAATATTTCACCGGTACATTCGTGTAACGGCGACCGCAAACATGTAAATACGCCTGATTCCTAAGTGCAAACGTATAAGTACCATATAAATCGACACCTGGGTGGGGGATCGACCTATCTCGCCAACCAGTTTGAAAACCCTCTATCTCAGAAAACTTTTCAAGAATGCCCTATTACAGAATTTGGTTGAAGAGCGCCCTATCTCAAAATTCGGTACAAAAGTGCCCTATCTCAGCATATTTTCAATAAATTTTCAAGTGAGATAAGGCGTTTTCGAACCAAATTCTGATATAGGGCGTTTTTCAATCAAATTCTGAAATAGGATGTTGCTTCAATCAAATTATGAAGTAGGATATTCTGGGAAATTTTTCTGAGGTAGGCCCTTTTCGAACAGGCTGCCTGGAGGCGAAGTATCTGGGAGTAACTCTGGACAAAACACTCAATTGTAAATCACATTTCTCATTTTATGCCTGTCAGAGACTTCGTGGTAAGACTTAGGGAATATTACCCAAGCAAAAGTATTGGTCCTTCCATACGGTAGCAAAAACCGTTGTTATATATGCAGCACTGGCCTGGTGGCCAAAAGCAAAGCAAGTAAACGCGGGTGCCACCGAACAGCAAGTTGCAAAAAATTGTCCGCGTGGTCATCACAAGAGCAATGCACACCTGTTCAACGGATACCCTTGGTGCTATTATAGGAATTCTTTCTTTGTCTATTCTGATTAAAAAGAGGACTTCTGGAGCGATCTACGGTTGCCCAATACGATTGGAATAAAAATTGCAGATCTCGGGGGTCATTTGAAGATTCTTAAGGTTAGAATTCCTGAAAGGGACTGCTGTGAAGTGATAATTAACTATCAATGACGAAATGTCCTAAGTATGGTATACCGACGGATCGAAGATGGACGACGGGAGTAGGCGCACTAGCACCACGATTGCAGAAAGGTCAATGGAAACATACCTAACCATGTTCCAGGCAGAAGTCTGTAGAAGGACAAATGGGGCCAGAATAAATATTATGTCGGCAAGTCAGGCAGCGTTAAAGGTCTTAGACTCTTTTAAAATGGCATCAAGGCTTGGGGACAACTGTACACAACCACAATGGCATAACGCTGTGGTGGGTTCCGGGAGATGAAGGGTACATCTAAAGGATGCATTGCATAACTACTTAGGGTCTGGGAAGAATCTCAGATTGCTGTCCACTGGCGGAAGTCGAAAGTGAATGAGAAATCAAAGAGATTCATAAGTTCCTCCAAGAGGAATTCCGAGAGTGTCCTTGAACTTACCCAGGACACTGCAAGTTAAGGTATAATTTGAATAAAATAGGGCTTTCTCTAGAGACGGATTACAGATTTTGTGGGCTGGGTTTAGCACAATAGATCTCCTCAGCTCGTAGCGTGTGTATACAGAAAAACGAATTGTTATACAAAGTTAATTTGTTTTTATTGTACTAGCTGCGTTTTAGTTTTACTACATAAATGTTTTGTTATCTACATTTTTAATAAATTTGACATTAAAAAAAAAAAATTAAAACTCAAAAAAATTTTGGTGGGTTTTGTTTGGAAATTTTGGTAGGTAAAAAGATTTCTCCGTGGCAACGCTGACCGCTCTATAAATTTTTACGCTCATTTGAGCAGCCCACTTCCCATTGAAGCTGCTCCCTCCATATGTCTAACTAGCGATTATCTTTAGTCAGGTCGCGTATTTGTATGGCAAAACACGTCGTAAAGCCAACGAAAGCATGAAATCGAAGTCAATAAAACAGAGTAAACTTCCAATAGAAATACTGACGACAAGCAGACGATTTTTATAGTAAATTGCATACAAATTAAATGAAAACGAATTTTGGGAAATAATCACACACGCAAATAATTTAGTGAATTTTAGTAGCATAATTTTTTTAAACGAAAACGATTTATGTAGAAACGTAGAAAACGAATGTAATGGCTTGGAATGCCAAACGAAATGGTTGATCGATTTTTTTGCGATGATGACAATTGTATAGCCAAATTTGGTGGTGGAAGTTGAATTCATGTGGAGTGCACGCAAGTGAGCAAAATTCGAAACTGTGATTTAATTAAAATAAATAGATATTTATAAAACAAAAAACACGCGAGTTTAAGAGGTGCATAGCTAAAATTTTTTCAACTTTTAAAACTTGTAGTTAGAAACTTTACTTGTAATATTCGCTCAAGTGCGCGTGTGTATGTACATATATGTGTGTATGTGTGTTTTAAATAAAAACTATGTACGCCTTTTTTAATTCAAATAAAACGTAAATAACAAATAGAAAATAATACAAATTATAAAAACAATGACCAGTAGCTCAAATTATACAAATTTTATGAACTCAAGTCAGGAGGTTCCAGAGTGTACGTACCTGCGATTCGATTAGCTTTCATAAAACAGTGCTTGGCTGCGAACAGCTGAAATTAGCCGCAACAAAAGCAAAAAGCAGAAGTAAAAAAATTTGTTATTTCGATTTGTTGATATTGGCAAATGGAAAATAAACAAGGTCCCGTTGAGATGACTAAAACAAATGTACGATAATTTTATAACAACAATAAAGCATACTCGTCACACAACTATTTATTAGATACAACAATAATAAGTGAAAAATAAAAATTTTACAAAATTACAAAGTAAATGAGTGAGTGTGAGTACCACCTAGCCGCATCAAACAAGCCAGGTAGTTCGTTCAGTAGGCCAGAAAAGCAATGCAAAGCGAAGTGCGAGAAAGAAATCGTGCGAGATAGTCGATGCAAACCGGCAAATGAATGATTCATGCAATGATGGTTGGTGAGAGGCTAGCGAATTCTTTAAATTTTTAACATAAAGAGCTTGCAATGAATATTCAAGCGTATGGCCGGCCACTTGTTCTACGGCACGCTGTGAGGATAATACTCAAAACAAGTGAAATGAGAAAATATTTTAAAAAAAGGTTTTGAAATCAAAGGTCACATGTACACAATAGAGACTTCGGAGTGAAAAAAATTTTATCAAAACAAATAAAATACAAATAACAATGCCCTGCTGTATGGGAGAATTCACAATTTAATATGTTCTGTCTGTCTCACGGCAATTATTTGAGAATAATTTGCGTAAAACAAAAAAAAATAATAAAAAAAAATAAAGTCACTTAAGTAAGCTTAAAAAGCTTTGCACGCAAACGAAAATAAATCATAAAAACTCTTCGCTATCATATTGCTACTACTGTCATAAATAATTGAAATTTATGAAATTACTTATCACGCTCAAACTCCTCGCTCAACTCGCCACACAGAGCCTTCGATTGTAAACTAAATATTTAGTCGTAAAGCGCTGAAAGCCAAAATTCTCGGTTGTATTTTTGACGGTTGTTTTATGCTCAACAAACAAACACGCACTCCAATAGTTAGATGTGTCAATATTTAAGGCGTTGGAAAGAACCTTCAACTCGACGATTTAACGAAAGCGCTCTACTTTCTTAGTTCTTATTGGCAATTTGTTTTTATGCTGGCTTCTGTGTGACCTTTTAACATATTTTATTCTACATACATACAAACTTTAATTGCGCGGAATTTAATTTGTGCCTACATACACCAAGAACAACTGACATACTACATACATACATACATATATAATTACAATTAATCGTAGTTAATTATATAAGATGTGCTTTCGCGGCATCTATGAATGCCTGTTCGGCTGTTGTAAGTCAAGAAATGCACCTGGTCTAAATGAGGTAAGCAGTAAATTCATAGCTGGCAAGACTGCTTCTGTCTGGTTATTAAAATTTATAATTATTTTAACCTCACTGCATGAATGATAAGAGAAATTGTGAAAGAAAGTTCAACGTATTTATTATAAATTTAATTTCAAATCATATCTACATATTATGTATGTATGCACATTAAGGTGGTCCAAAAATGCATGTAAAAAATAAAGTCAAAATTTTAATAATCTCACCCACTAGGATTGTTCTCAGTATAAAAAAAAAATTATTTTTTTACTCTTTTTTTTTTGAAATCAAAAAATATTTAGAGGCGGCTCAATGTGCTCAAAGTTGTTCATGTATTTTGTATGGGATAAAACAAGTTTTTGTAGAAACGGTATATAATTCAAAAGCTCCCACGAAGTGAGTTTCAAGTTAATTCAACAAATTAAAAAAAAACGTCCGCCATTTTGAGCTGTTTAATTGTGAACTTCGCCCCGGTTGGATGAACGTCTAACCACATCCCGCATAAAGGCGAGATTCTTCAACAACTCGCTCATCTGCGCCCATGCTCCGATGGAAGCGAAGGACGAGGCGTCCAAGGATCTCTTCTATAAGCTCTTGGAGCGTACATGTGAGCGCTGCCCCCAACACGATATCAAAAAGGAAGGGATCTTTGGCGCCTCTGTCGGAAAATTCTGTTTCCACGACGAAACGTCCGATAACGGACTGAGGCTGATCGACTTTACCGGATCCCGAAACATGGTAATATGTATTACTAGCGTCCAGCATGAAAAGATCCATCACGCTACATGGCATTTGCCGTAGTAAGAAAAGAGAGGCCGAAATACGTGAGTGCGAAGAACTTGAGATGGTGGCCGACTGCAAAAACGCCCGAAAATTTTACCACAGGGTTAGGCGACTTACGAAAGGTTTAAAGACCAGGGCGAACTCCTGTAAGAACAACAATGGCGACCTAGTGACCGATGTACAGAATGTACTTAAATTATGGAGGGAACACTTTTCACCCTACTAAATGGTAGCAGCGCTGAAAACATTGGAGAAGACGAACCCGAGCCCCCGGTCGATGACGATGGAGTCCATGTCCCACCGTCTAACTATGACGAGGTACGAATAGCGGTTACGTGTCTGAAAAACAACAAAGCGGCTGAAGCTGGCGGCCTGCCAGCCGAGCTATTCAAGTACGGCGGCGAAGGGCTGATAAGGTGCATGCATCAACTCTTATGCAGAATATGGTAGATGAACGCATGCCCGACGACTGGAATTTAAGTTTTCTCTGCCCAATTCACAAGAAAGGCGACCCCGCCATACGTGCCTATTATCGCGGGATCAGCCTTCTAAGCGTAGGTTACAAGGCCTTATCGAGCGTATTGTGTGAAAGACTGAAGCCCACCGTCAACGAACTGATTGGGCCTTATCAGTGTGGCTTTAGACCTGGCGAATCCACCATAGACCAGATATTCACAATACGTCAAATCTTCGAAAAGACCCGCGATAAAAGGATCGACACTCACCATCTATTTGTCGACTTCAAAGCCGCTTTCGATAGCACAAAAAGAAGTTGCCTATACGCCTCTATGTCTGAATTTGGTATCCCCGCGAAACTAATTCTTAAGCAAAAATAAAACGACCGAATTCTCATACATATGTATAAAAAATTAGGACACCTTTAATATCTTCATGATCCAATGATCGGAAATAAAAAGAATTAGTATGGTAGCACCCTTAAAACCACGTTTCCGGTACAAAAATACAAATATAAAATAATTTAAATAAAAAAACATACATAAAAAGAATATTCCAACGAATTGATTACCTCCTCCTTTTTTAAGTCGGTTACAAATAAAACAAACACTACCGATTATTTTCTGCAAAAAAAGTAGCAGGAAAAGTTTCGATAACATAAAAGAATTTTGATGGTGCTTTCGAAATAGTGGTATGACAGTATAACTTGTGACCCGTATAACTTTTTTTCAAAATCTTAAAATAAGTGTTATTTCCAGTATCTGGTTGTTATTATGAGACGAGCTATCGGGTACTCCTCTGGATACTTGCTCAAACATATATATAGTACATATTATTCATATCACCGTTACTGCCTTGCTATTGTTATTGCAATGGCTGTTTATAGCACATAAATAATGCAAACGTGTGTGCTGTCGGGCGAGCTTTGCCAAGATGACGACATGGTATGCGCATACATTACTAATAAAATAAATAATGGATATTATAAAAAAAAAACTAAAAATAATAATAAATAAAATACTTTGTAATGCCATTGCGTATGGCTGAGATGAGTATTAAAGTAAACATTTGTTTTTGCACAATTATATTTGAATATTAATTTGCAAAACGCGAATGCACCCTCATACATACATATATGTACTAAAATTTAAACATACGTAATAAGAATGGCATATTTATTTATGCGTATATGTTTTAGTAATATGCACAGATAGGTATACATAAATATCTGGAGTATAAATATGAAAATGGCAGATTTTAAATTTACACATTTTTATACACATGCATACATACATATACATACGTATATAAAACATGTAATTTTTAAGCAAAAAACAAAACCGAGTTCAATTTTTATATACAAATTTAGGAGTACCGTTAATTTTTTCATGATCCAATAACCGGATCTAAACCCGATTAGTATGGGACCACCTCTGAGATACTACCTTTCCGATGCGAATTTCGAAATCGGTTGACGTGGTGCAAAGTTATGCGGTAACATACATAAAAAAAAAAAAAAAAAAAAATATTCCCACGAATTGATAACCTCCTCATTTTTTTGAAGTCGGTTAAAAATGCATAAAGTTTAAAAGCGATAAAGATTCGAATGTGTGGTTTCCTTATCAATCAAAATTCATAAAGCATTTAATCTAGCGAATAACAAATGCAGTAAAATAAACAAATTTAATGAGTATAGACTGCTACGCATGTAGGTATTTCGAACCGCTGAATATAAATCCCAGTCAGAGTTGAAATTGAAGCAGCCCGCGCTAAATTTCTTTACTTTTGTTTCAACGAATAGCTTCTTGGCACACACTTAGTACATACCTGAGATTGAGTGGCTCGAAAAAATTAATGTTTCATATAAGAAACGCATATGTATGTACATAATTGGGAATCGCTTACCTTCCCTCTTTTCGTTATTTATTTTAACCACTTTCAAGACGTTGGTGATGTCACATTTGATCTGCTATGGCCTTAATATCTGAAGCAGGTAAGGAGACAAATTTCACTTGTTGTTGGATTCACTATGGAATAGAACTGTGGGTGGACGGAAAAACAAAAAACACATTTTTCCAAGCACTCAGACAGTATTGCCCATTGTACTTAAACCCAGAAACAGGGTTTACAGGAAAGGAATATATACTTAGGTGTGGTGGGAATTCATTGCTCCTCTGCAAACTTACCAGACTCCTTTATGAACCTTAGCAGTTTGTTGAGAGAAAATGTTCTGTTTTATTCTCATCCTTCAAAGAAGATGTATGTACACAGAGGATCGTCGATGATGTCTATGGAGACCATATGTCGTCCCCATGGATTGTGCCCTCCTAATCAGTCCTATCAGGGTTCGTAGATCACTCCTTCTTTGTCTGAAATAGAACTTTGCTACCACCTTGTTAGGCCTCATCAACGACTCTCATGAGATCCTTAATGTACCCGATCGTTGCTGCTATGCTTGGCCCTAAAATTGGCTCACGTCCAATTGAACGCTCCAGAAAACTGCAGTTCCTCAATTCATCAGCCAGTTCGTTTTCTTGAGCATCGAAGTGTCCTGGCACCCACACAAGTTCAAGCTTATTCCACCTTGTAATGGACTTCATCCACAACTTTCTTTCCTGGACTATCTTTGAAGAGGTCCTGATTTTATATCCGCGCCACCTTTCGTCAATTATCCAGTCTGCCACTTTCAGTATTACAAATACTTCCGCTGGAAAGACCGTCGCCATTGCACCTAAAGCGTTAAAGCATATGAAGTAGCCATCTAGCTAGAGTACGATTTTCAGTCATTGAGCGATCGGTATAGAAAATTTTCACAAAGCTTCCCAAGAGAGTTTCGGAATCACTCCATAGTTCCCTTGTAGGAAATCTAACGACTTACTTTCTTCAAAAGGAGAATCCAGGTATCAATTTGTCTTTAGGTGCCAAAAACAAAGGGTAATGCTGTGACAACTTTCTGTGTCCAGAACTCCGATCCTTGCGCCACAAACCAATACAGTAGATAGGCATGTGTGTGTGTGAGTTAGGATAGTTTGCCTGGCAGCGCTCAAATAGATGGAACAATCTTGATTGGCTGAAATGGTACAATAATAAGCTACTCTGTAGAAGCGGAGGCTATGAGCCGGTTTCTGGAGTTAGGTCTGCCGGAGAAACGCGACAGTGGTCAGGTAAACGTAAACTGGGGTTTAACTAGAGTTCACTGAACTGAATCCAGTAATTTACCTTGTCGCTTTGGACTCTGAGAGTATAGGTCTGGGGAACCTTCCCATACGTTGCTCTCGCGGATCTTTACTGCGGAGAGTTTGCTGTCCAGATAGAGTAGAGGAATGGTAGTTAGAGTCTCAGTAACCCACTCAGACTCCAAGACTCAACATCCAATGCAGAGTTGAAGTTTAATATTCTGATATTCATGAAAGGTATAAATTCTATAGTAGATCAACCTTAACTAAGCACTAACTACTAAAGTCCGGCTTTTAAAGAAATAAGAAGAAATATTTATTATTCAGACTTTTTACTTAAATTTATTTGATTAAAACGAGTAAAGGTCTGAAATTTCAAGAAATAGTAATTGCTTAGTTTTTATTTATGCGGTCCAATGGCTCGATTGCTGAGCAGTCCTATTTACGATATTCGAAGAATTTTGAGTCACATTCACGAAAAATTGTGGACGAACAAAGCGTTTATTTGTTTTGACTTATTCCAACCAAATGTCAATTAGTGCGAATTAGCAAGTTAATAATATTACTTTAAGTAAATTTTTAACCTTTGGCATAAGAGCACATGAGTAATTAAATACTTGTCAATTACTGTGTCCACCAAAGTATTGTAATATACATGCTCCTCTACTCATATAAATACATATATATTTTCTACATTAGGGTGGTCTAAAAATGCAAGTAAAAAAAAAGTAAGGTCTGCTTTTAATGCAGTCATCCCCTATTATCGAAAAAATATACCCGGAAAAAATATTTAGAGGTCACTCAAAGCGCTAAAATTTTTCCATTTTTTTTATAAGGCGAACGTAGAAATGGTATAGAATTCTTGAAAATGAATATTTTTCGATCGAAAAACTCTTCAGGGCAGTTCCAATAATAATACCCAATTATTTACTTTGCCATTTTTTAATATTAACGATTTTTTATTGAATTTTTGTGGTTTTTGGGGGACCTATAGAGAATAGTTATCTACTGTTAGGAAATGGTGGAAATGGTTAAACAAACAATTGAGTATTAGTTTTGAAAGTATCCTCAAGAAAAACGGAGTTTTCCGATTGAAAAATATTGACTACACCTCTTCTACGAAAAATGTTTTTTTTTCTCAATATAAAATACATGGAGCGCTTTGAACAGCCTCTAAATATTTTTTGATTTGAAATTAAATAAAAAGCGGGGATACATTTTTTCTTCGGTTTAGAACAATGCTAGAGGTGAGAGCATTAAAATTCCGACTTCAACTTTTGTAGCACCCTAATGTGCATATATTTGTTTCACATTATTATATTCAGTTGTCCATAAACATATGTATGTATTATGTCATCAAACAAGCCACAAACCACTGAGCTCATAAAAACTGCAATACATAAAAATGTTAAGCTACTCTTTCAATACACGAAATTATATGCAAGGCAATTGTCGCTCCAATTTAGGTGTGCACGGGGTCAGACTGGAATTTTTGTGTGCTGGCAAAGTATGTATCTATGTACATATATATTTCAAATTGTTATTCATTAAAGTAAGTATGTACATACATACCCAAATTCGTAATTCGCCTGTGTCATTAAAAAATTGTGCTGGGCTATGAGGAGGGTTTCACAACAAGCTGGGCGTCAAGGGGGTTTTCCTAATTCGATTAAGACGACTGTATTTGGGCAACCAATTCTACACGTAATCTCCCACCTAAAATTGTTTTTTTTTTTTGATTGCAATAATTTCGCGCATTTACGATTCCAATCGAACTTAACTTTTGATCGCTGTCGATAACAAATGACGCCCCTGCAATTTCGATTTAATTTGTGTTCAATGTCCTTTATTTAAAAGGGAATGTAAAGAGATTAAAGGAATCACTTGCCGGATCGATTCCATGCTTTGTGGAGGACTACGTTCTTCGTTTCGCCAATTCGGCGCGTATATGTATGCATGTACAAAGATAAAAGCTTACCAGCTCGCCACATTATTGGCCCTGTGTGATGCGCGGGAATTCGACACTAATTCAACTTACTTCCCAAGATAGGCTTTGATTGATTGTCATGACGAATGTATGGCGAATCGGTAATTTAATGCGTTTCAACTCGAAGGCTTAATCGGTTCATAGTCCGATTCAGTGTCTGCAATGCTCGTTTGTGTGCTATTGTGCATTCGGTTCAACAGTCAGTTGAATATTCATCGGCATATTCAACGTCTGGTGAACCGTTTCAACCCCAAAAATGAGACTGCAAGTGAGACAACTGCTAGATCATTTTTGATCTCGAACGCACCGAAGCTAACAGTAATGAAACTGAGGAAGGTTTTGCGAGTACCGAAAGACCCATAGAGGAACTAAATGTCTGTTTCGATCGTCAATCGCTTCCATCGAAGTGTCATAAACGTCCTTTTGACACATCACACGATGCTTGACGCATCGCCCACACTCCAGTACCGGCGTAATTTTGGATTTCGGTAGTAAGCTACGGCATTCAATTCCAAACAGGTGTTCTGCGTGGATTGATGAAAATTTTTCACCTCTCTGTAGCCGATGGCGTGCCATTAGACGTGCTGGCCAATGATGAACCTACCAGGTCTGAAACCATACCAGTAAGTAAAGTTAGTTCATGAAGGACTTCAGTTTTACATAGTATCGTCGACAGGACCTTATCATCGATATTAAGAAGGCGTATTCCGCTATAATTGGCGCAAACTGAGGGATCTCCCTTCTTGTGGAATGAATTCATAAGACCAAATTCTGCTTAACAGTTGGTAAATGCGCCCCACCATATCTTTTCTGTCGGCTTATTCAGCTGACATTAATTTGGCTCTTAGGGCTTTTTGTTTTTAAACCCTATTATTAATGCCCTCACCTCGTTTTGGTTGAGTGGTTTGACGTGAACTTCGTACCTTTACATTGGTATGCGTTCTTCTTCGATAAAGCCACCACCTGTGAAGTGTTTCCTTCGTATCTCAATTGTACTCCAGACGTCTTTTAACAGATTGCCACGCTCGTATTTGCAGGAAGTAGCGTCAAGAAACCGCTGATAGCTCTTATTCTTTTAAAGTCTTTAAAATTTTAACGAATACACCCTTTACCTACTAAACCCTTGAAAATTAATGTCACTGAAACCTTCTGTATTTTGTTACGTTATTGAAATTCTGTATGACAGCCAAATTTTTTTTTAATTTAAAAAATTCAAAATATTTATGGATATAAAAAGCTTTATCGCCTGTATTGTTGATTGTTATGTTTCGTTTGATTGTAAACTTTCAAAATGTATCTTAGCGTTCTAAATATAATTTAATTACTCTTTTTATTGCTGCTAAACCTATCACCCCAATTCAATGAATTTATCTTCTAATTGCAGAGCTCCTTCTATGACTATGTGGAACCGCTGCCTGTATATCAAAATGAAAAAATCGGCACTTTGAAGGAGGGCATCAGCTTTACAATAACCGGAAAAATTCTGCTAAATTGCGAGCGGCAAGTCCACATGCAAGCATTTTCCCTTAACAATAAATAATCATTTTGCCTTTGTCCTTCAGGTTTTCAATCAATTTCGTCATCGAGAATGCAACACGCGATGTTGCGCTGCACATCAATCCACGCCTGCCACAAAACTATATTGTACGCAATACGAAGGTGAAAGGCGTATGGGGCAGGGAAGAAGTCTCATCAGCACTGCCATTCTCGCTGCATCGTGGCTGCCGTTTCGGCATGCAGATCTTCATAACAGATAGCGACTATTTGATCTCCGTGAATGGCATACATTTTGCCAAATATGCACACCGTCTGCCCTACACGTCAGTGTCGACTATCGAGGTGAAAGGCGATGTGGAAGATGTCAGCATGGAACGCGCCGATGTGGAGTTCTATCCCGAACATATACCGGGCGTTGATCCCAAAGAAATAAGTATGGCACTGGACATTTTCCATGACAAGCCAAATGGTGATAAGACAGCGTTAATACCATACGAGAAGTGGATGGCTCGAATTTAGACTGGGCGCCACTGGGTATTAAAAGTTCGATTGCCTTAATGAAAAATATCGCCTGTGGCATACCGCTTCCATACTATGGGCTATTGCCGCCCGATTCGCTAAAAGTGGGGCGTTGCTTACAAATTGTGGGGCCGTGTTAAATTGCTGCCACAATCGTTTTACATTAATCTACAAAAGGGCCAACACTACTGGCCTCATCCGATTATCGCATTTCATTTTAATCCACGTTTCTCGAAGCAGAGTGGTGCAATTGGCAAGGCGATTGTATGCGAAATGCTTGGTTCAATGGCGCGTGGGCAGAGGAGGAACGCTCCGAATTGGATACAGATTTTCGGCCTGGTAAAACTTTTCGCTTGGCCATTGTGTGTGCGGAAAATGGATTTGAGGTTTACTTGAATGATAAACTAATAACTGATTTTAGATATCGTATCAAACCGGATATTGTCGATACGGTGTATATACAGGGTGATATCAAATTGCGCAGCGTTGTGCTGCTTAGTAATTTATCGCCAAAAGGCACAAGACGCATTTATACAAATCCGCTCTTCAGATATAACTAATCGGTGTTGGGGGACGGGAAGGAAATCAAGTGTGAAGGTGAGCATTGGGAAAGTAGAGAGTAGTAGACTTTCTTGCGAATTTCGCCGTTATATACCAGAAACTTTACAAATTCTATATGCGCGCCCATGTAAAGGGCTGCTCCAACAGACGCGGTGCGATACCATCTTGTGCAATACGCGCCTGTTTGAGCAGGCCTTAAAATTTATAAAACATTTTAAAATGTTTCTTCTGTAGGATATGTATTTATGCTTTGGTCTCAATTACTTTACTTTCTTCTAAAGTGCATAGAAAGCTTAAAGAGATCTACATGCGTGCCTAGTCGTTGCATGCGTTTGAGAGGTTTTTTTTTAACTTTCGCAGCCATGACCAAAACAACGCGAAAAGCTTTGCAAGGCTTTCTATAGAATCTCGAACAAACCTTTCTATAGAAAAATTCTCTGTAAAAACGGACAAATATATTTTTTATAATAAACTTATAGCGTTTTCTTTTCTCGAAAAAATGTCACCTTTTATGTATGTATATGTATGTACGTATGTACATAGATCTATTGCGCTGACCTTATAACAGTCCACACCGATCTCAGAGTACCCACCTGTAAATCATATTAGAGTGTGTCATGTCTCAGATTCTGGACGGAGACGATAAACGCTCCCCGAAACATGAGAATTTTAGACCTATGATAGGTGGGAAATCGCATAATATATTCCAGTCACAAAACCTGCAGTCCAGTCAGGTAGCCTCTGAAAGTGCTCAGGGCTTCCGGACTAAAATTCCGTAGTCATTTTGAGATTCATTTAGGGGGAGTTTTAACTTTCTTATTGATTGCCTTATCCTTTTGTCGTACGACATTCGGGGGCAGCTTGATAATCCTCCCACTAGCTTAGTGTCCTCATGTCCCGGTACCAACCAAAGGGCTAACCTTACCTTGTTAGGCATGCTTGATGCTACATAAATATTATTCCTATTTCTACACATCAGTACCAATATTAAAGCATACATTTAGGAGGTATTTTCGCCCCAACCATGTACATGTATAGCATTTGTATAGGTGCCACATTTGAATCGATTTTCGCGCTTTATTTTAAACTAATTGGAAATTTGAGTAACTCTCTGCACATCAGTATCAAAATACCTTTCCAATGATATATAAATCTTTATAGCTTACAATTATAGTTTGCCCGTAAAAGGGGTGTAAAGAAAACATGTTTACCTATTTATATATTCATTATTTATTATTTTAGTGACTCCTTAAAGTGAGGTTAGAGTCATAGAGTCAACTCTAGGAAATTTGCTGAGTTACCTACCCCCAGCGTATGGTAGAAGCCAACTACATACCATTGTGGTCTCGTCGATTTCCGTTCCGTTAAATTTTCAATGTGAAAAGTACCTACATCACGTTCTTACTAAAAAGGTCAGTCAAATCAAGGAAATTTTTGGGAAGAAAAACATTTCACAAAAACCGCTTTGAAACCATTTGAATGAGGCTGTATACAAAAAGAAACTCCATGTTGGGATGCCAAACAAGTTCACGCAAACCAATCTCATAAACCCATTTTCCAACTGCGAATCGCAGCTGAATTGCAAGAAAAAGCTACCCATTTCACTTGTGAATCAGGATATCGTTAAGTGAAAAAATTCGTGACTGAATCGTGGTGAGCGTGCGCAAGTAGTGACCAAGAAAGGATGGGCGGTCAGGAAAGTTTTACTGCGCGTTTGGTAGGATTTTCAGGGAATGATCCACAGGGAAATATTCCAAACTTCTTCCTTCCCGGAATTATTTTCTATGAGCAGACTACACGTACTCACTTTTTTGCTCTTTTATTCATCCGATTATATTTGATCTTTAAATTTATAATCTTTTCGATCCCATTACATTATTCTCTAAACTATGATTTATGTAAAAACAATTTCGATATTCTTACTATCGGTTTTGTTGTACAAGATTGACTTGTTAAAAAAAAAAAAACAAAAACAAATAATAAATTTGCTTGAAAGTCCGCTCTATATTCCATTTATTGCTCACTAAAATATGTCTCTTATTTATTATTATTTTTTAGATTCCAGCGCTGCTCGCTGTTCACAGACCCCGAAAGCATTTGAAAACGTTTAAAGGACTCGGAGAGCGAGGCGAAACTATAGGCTTATTAAATATGGATGGATATGCGAATAGATTTTATAATTCTTTAATTATTTAGCTTTACTTATATATTTCATATACATTTTCTGTAAAGTTCATTTTAAGACCAAAAAAAATCCAAGACATTCAATCAAAGATTAGTACCTATTTACATACATTATTACAATATTAATTTAATAAAAAAAAAAAACTTTTACTAAGACACAAATTGTTAAATTTTTATGAAGCTTGTTTCGAATAAAGAATGTGTTCTTTAAACATTATTATGTTATTAATATATGTATGTATGTATTAACATTGGAAAAAGTATAGAGATAAATAAATGTCTACTAATAAGTACGTACTGTATTTTCAAAAGCTTAATTCGCTACAAAATTAATTTTTCTCTGACAATAATTAAATTAGGCATCGAAAGTGTCAGTTGGTGAATAATTCGGATGGTTGCATACATACAAACATCATCATCGTATATATAAATAGAAACCTATATAAATTTTATATATTCGATATGATAAACATATGTATGTCTGTATGTAGGAAATTCCCCAAAATTAACTTATGGATTTGTGATTTTTTTTAGTTAAAAATAAACTTAAAAAAGAAGTAATAGCCAAAGTTCGTCCAATAAAAACTTGAATTCGTAAATCTTGTATGTTAACCCAAAAAAATCGGTACGTAGATACAGCTGTTGTATGTATTTCTTACTGACATGTAGTCTCTAACAAACGTGCTATACTCATATATTAATACCATTTAATAAATAAATAACCGTTGCCTTTGAAATTTGTCGAAGTTGGAACTACTTGTTATTTGTCTATACATACTAAGCTTCGTTTATAGAAAATTGTATGCCAAAAATTAAACCACATTATAAGTAGCTGAAAAAAATGTTTAATCTGACATATTACCGAATAATATACACATGTATATTCGTATATTTTATGAGCACCTTATTGTTATTTTATGTATTTGTAAACAATACTTTGACCTTTTAATGCTATAAAATATTAAAATGGAATAAAAAATTCTTTAATAAAGTGATAAATGCAGGTACATGCAAATATGATTTAATATTATGTAATTGGATTAACGTTATATCATGAACGTGCAAAAAAGTGTAAGTACTATGTATATTTTTTGCTTGAGTCGAATACTTGAAGCGCGGCCTCTCTTACCAAAGGATTACTCGTTTCGATTTAAACTAATTAATTTAAATTACAGTTGTTTCCTCTGCGATACAATTGAACTAAAAAAGCTAACGTAAAGTCGTTATCGAGTGCCACAATTTCAAAATGAAATTTCGAATCGAGTTTCATTCGTTAACGGATGGCACCATTCGGACTCATATACACTCAGAAAAAATTCAGCCAAATATATTCCTCTCATCACATGATTTGGTAACTATAAAAAAATATTAGCCGTCACCGATTCGCCAACAGTTAGCAAGTGGCGAAACGAACGAACTCAATGAGGTACAACCAAACTCGCTATCGTCTATCCGTGCTAGCTAACTTTGTTGTTGCTTTCACATGCATAATTTTTCGTTAAGCGACCGGAACTCAAATATAGCGAGCGAGAAGTGGCGAATCGATGACGGCTTTTGTAAGCTTCGTATCGAAATTGAAAGTTTGAGTTGAATAGTTTTGGTTAACGCATGAACCATATTTTTATAAAAAAAAAATTTTACTTAAAAAAATTTTACTTAAAAAACCCTATCCATGCTAGCTAACTTTGTTGTTGCTTTCACATGCAAAATTGTTCGTTAAGCGACCGGAACTCAACCATAGCTAGCAGCGAACTGGCGAATCGATGACGGTTAATATCCGCCTGTTTTTACTCTGCTACCGGTTTTATGTGCTGTTTTTTCGCCTCCGATTCGCTTGTGAAAATTCACACAGGGTGGTAGCGATAGCAAAGACAATACTTTTCAATTTTTCCAGTAGATGGCGCACTAACAGTAAAAATATGTTTACGATATAAAACGAAATTTTTAAACTGTGCTAACCTTACCACTCTGTGTTTACTCTTTCAAATTATAAGGTGCGTTCGTTTAAAATCTCCAGTAAAACCAACCAACTGCCAAATTCCGGCGAAATGTCATCTGTTCTCTCACAAGAGAAAAATATCCCAAATAGTACGCGAACAGAAAATTTGCAGAAACTTGCAAATTAGATAAACAGCTGATATAATTTTCGTTTACATTCAAAAGTGTAAAATTTAAAACGTACGAAAAGCCATCACAAAGTGTTATACTGACACAGTTTATTGATTAAACAAATANAAACAGCTGATATAATTTTCGTTTACATTCAAAAGTGTAAAATTTAAAACGTACGAAAAGCCATCACAAAGTGTTATACTGACACAGTTTATTGATTAAACAAATAACTACTTATTTCTTACAAGTTTAATTAGTCGCATTTTGTAATTTTTAACTTCCAAACCATCAAATTCAATTTTGTGATTTGCGTAAATGCCAACCAGCTGTTTTTGATCAGCTGTTTTCCTGTTGGCAAATATTTTTCCAGCAGAAACCAGCAGCTTCCCCTCAAAATGAAATGTCACTTTGCTCTCTCAATTTCCCCTACTTTGCAAGTTTTTTGCGTACGCGAACGAAAAAACTTGTAAGTTTTGGTTAAACATGAACAATTAACATCTACGCGAACGAACCTATATTTAAAATAAAACGGAAACTAAAAAAGCAAAGTTCGGAATGAATATGTAAAACCAGAGAACGTTTATAAGTTGGTCTTTTAAATAAGTTGGGATTTAAATGTTTACCTACGACAAGTAACAAAAAAATAACTAAAAAATGCCACATGCTAGCTACATACATACATATATGGATATATTTATTAAAAAATCTTTTTGGTAACTTTTACATTTACTCAGACTGTACCGAGGATTATATGAACTTCAAAGAATTCCTTTGAACGATTCGAATCACTAAGGCTTTCAACCGCCATTGGGAGTGCATCCTCGCTTAGCTTTGCACGTTTCTGATCAAAACCTGACACGAAGTCCGCAGCAGAAAAATGTAATCCGCAAATTTTCCTTCCTGGTATTAGATCTACGCCACATGTAGCCGCCCACTTTTTTCTCTTCACTTCGTTTTTTGGTATGTGAAACATTTTAATCTTCTCATGAGTCCATGTCTTGTGACAGAGAAAGCAACTGGATTTTGGCATATTTATGGCTATAAATCGTAAGATTGCGATTAAGATTAAGACTAAGTTTAAGATTAAGATTAAGTATAGAATTAAGATTAGGACTAAGTTTAAGATTAAGATTAAAATAACTATTTAGAACAAGGTTAAAACTAAGTCTATTAAGATTAGGACTAAGATTGCGAGTAAGATTAGGATCAAGACTAGTTTTAAGATTAATATTAAGATTAGGATAAATATAAGGATTAAGATCAAAATTGAGATTAAGATTAAGGTTAAAAGTAAGAATAAAATTAAGATTAAGATTGCGAGTAAGATTAAGCTAAGTTTAAGATTAGGATTAAGATTAAGAGTGATATTAGGATTAAGATTAAGAGTGATATTAGGATTATATTAAGATTAAAATTAATACTGAGAATATGGTTAAAATTAAGACTAAGAA